TTGAAGACGCCTCATGTGACATGTGAGTTCCATGTTTTGGATTGACTTTGAACTGAGAGGATTACTCCTTGTGACATCAGTTTCATGTCTTGACTTGACTTTGAGCTGAAGGGACTGCCCCATGTCATATATCAACTGTGGGAATTGCCCCCTGTCATATATCAGCTTGATGTCTTGATTTCACTTCCATGTGTTTACTTGAGTTGCAACTTGAGGGCTGCCCCCTATGGCATACCAGTTCTATGTCTTGATTTGACTTTGAGCTGAGGGTATTAAACCCCTGTTACATATCAGCTTCACGTCTTGACTTGACTTATAAGTGGGGGGTTTTGGACCCAACGGTGCTCAACATTTTGCCATTTGATTAGCAGAGCTTTACTTTGCTCTATTTGTATTTATGAATTTTTTTGGACTTGTTCAACCTTGATGATTTAGCCACTTGGTGAGCATACTTGGATAGTGAGTGTTCTTTAATAGAAATCACCATCATAGGTTTTGTGATGCTCAAGTTGACAGCGGTTGTTCCTTCATGGTTAGCCACCATTGATGTTGAAGCTGGAAAGACCAAGTTGGTAAAGATTGAACCAATCATGACTGAGTGCTTGTAAAGGCTTTGATAGCTTGGGCATTAATGACATTTGCAGTCGCCTTGCTAACCATAACTTTGAACTCTTGGAAGTAGAGCATATCTTGTGGTGCCCTTGTTTTGTTTTTGTTTTTTTTAAGCCTGAGGCAAACACAAAGTAAATATGATTAGTCCATTTATGAATGGAGATGAAAGAGAAAATGGGTCCCACTGGGCGTGCCAAAAATTATGTTGAAGAAAAAAAAGTAAACCTCCAAACATAATTTCACCACCACTAATCAATAAATGAGGAAAAATTATGTTGAAGGAAAATATGAACCTCCCAACATAATTTCACCACCACTAATCAATTAATGAGGTTTTATTATTTTAGGTTCGACCCATTCGAGACGCAAGTCTCTTAATTACAATCCCTCGCTACAAGGGAAAACCCTTTGATTCCATCATAAAGAAACAGAATGTGTGTGTTTGGTTTTGCGGCTGCTCCCAAGTTCAACCACAGGTGCCTACGTATCCCTTGCAGGAACCAAGCCACTCGTAGTTCAAAGATTCGCAATGAGTAAATGACTCATTGAAAAAGGAGGAATTTGAATGAATTTGATGGAGTTGTGTTTGAGAGAATCTAACTTAATAAACCAAGGGTTCGATATGGAATTGTGTTTGGGATGGTTGCATCTAGATTGAATCTCTAGATTGCTTACGTACCCTTTCAAAGGGATCAAACCAACGTAGTTCGGAATTGATTTGTGTGGAAATTTGATTAGTGAGAATTTGGTTGCGGTTGCGTCTATTGGGATGCTAGACTACCTATGTACCCTTGATGCGATCAAACCAGCGTAGTTCCAAAGTTTGGAAAATTAATGGGTAAGTGTGGCCAAATAATTTAGAGTTGGTGTCTTTGAAATGATTAAAAGATTTTCATAGGTAGATGACCTATGGGAAAAATTGGAAATTAATGGGTAAGTGTGGCCCAATAATTTAGAATTTGTGTTTGAGATATTTGAATTTAATCTCATTGGAATTTTCATGAGTAGATGACCCACGAGAAAAACTGGAAATTAATGGTTGAGTGTGGACGAATTTGGTTAGGATAAAACCAGGGATTCAAATTTAGTTGCGGTTGTGTCTATCGGAATGTTAGACTGCCTACGTACTCTTGACGGGATCAAACCGACGTAATTCCAAGATTTGGAAACTAATGGGTACGTGTGGCCCATTAATTGAGAATTCTGTTTGAGAGATTTGAATTTAATCTCAATGAAGTTTTCATGGGTAGATGACCCATGAGAAAAATTGGAAATTAATGGGTGAGTGTGGACCATTAATTGAGAATTTCTGTTTGAGAGATTTGAATTTAATTTCAATGAAATTTTCATGGGTAGATGACCCATGGGGAAAATTAGATGGTTTTGTACTATTTTTCTTTTTGTCAATGTCCAAGAAAAATAATAAACAATTTTGATTAAGCCACTAATTCTCTACAATTAACATTTGCACTTGGACCCAAATATGGCTATGAGGATTTTTTTTTTTAAATTGATTCGTGAACCATATAATGGGCAATTTGGGCCTCTGTAAATTTAATGGGTAATTATTTGAATTACGTATTAATTACTCTTGACTTTTGAAAGTTAATAGGCAATTATTTTTGACAGCCCATTGTTCTATTTTGGGCCTTTGATATTTTGACTGACCCATGAACAGAATTGGTTCACAACTGTGATCTTTGTGATAAAAGGGACCAGTGCAGCTTGTTTGCAAACAATCAACAGAGAAGGAATTCAAGGTATGGCACCTGGCCTTTTCAAAGCCTTGTTTCTTTTCTTTTTTTTTTTATTACTCATGTTTTCTTTTGGCTGGCCCTTTCTCTCCTTTTAACCCAGCAACAGACACAGTGGCGTATAGCCACTTTCTTTCCCTTTTTTTCATTTTTGTTGGCTGGCCCTTTTTTCTTCTTTCTGTTTGTTGCTGTTCTTCTTCTGCCTTTCTAGGTGGCTGTCATTTTTTTGTTTGTTGCTGCTATATGCAACAAGCAGCCAAGAATTCAAGACGTGGCTGCAAGTCTATCTTTCTTCTTCTTTTTTTTTTTTTTAATTGCACACACCAAGCGTTTCTCCAACCAGCTTGGCTGTTCCTCATCTTCCTGTTTTTCTTAGTATGTTACGTCTGTGTGCAAACAACACCAAACCCTCCCAAAACGGGGCTAGTTTTCTCCTTTTTTGTTTGTTTGTTTGTTTGTTTGTTGTGACTGGGTGCCTAACAACAACAGGACAAGAGGATCTTCCAAGAGAGTTCGGTTTATAAGTTTGACACTCAAAATGATTTTAGTTTATGGGTTTTGTACCCAAGCATGGCGTTTCGCTCTGCAGAGCATGAAGATTTGGTCAGCAGAGTATGGAGATTCGCTCGGCAGAGCATTATTAATTTGTGGGTTGCCACCCAATATGGATTGCCATCCATTTGCTTGATTTTCGGGTTACGACCCATGATGGATTGATAATCCATATAATTTGGTTTATGGGTTTCATACCCAAGCACGGAGGTTCGCTCGGCAGAGCATTATTGACTTGCGGGTTTTATACCCAAGCATGGATTGCCATCCATTTGTTTGATTGTGGGTTGCCACCCATGATCGATTCATCATCCAAGAGTTTGATTTGAGGGTAGCCACCCGTTTGATTGATTAAAAGGGTTGCCACCCAACATGGAGGATCTCAAGGGAGTAGCCTTGATTGCTTCTGTCACATTTCTTCAGCACTGCCGTGCATCCTCCATGTTCCCCAAGCCTTGTTGGCTTTTTTTGTTGTTGTTGTGTCTCTTCACAGTCTACCGCTGTGTTTTTTTTTTATATAGCCTCACGGCTGCCTCTTCTCCAAGCCCTTGTCGCCTTGCAGGCTCTTTTTCAGCCCCACTTTTCTATAGCACCTTCCCTTCTCCTCCTCCTTTCCTGCAGCACCTCTCCCCCTTTCCTCCTCTCATTTTTACCTTACGTTCATGTCTTTTATAGGCAAAAGATGAACAACAGCTGGGGAAGCACGTTTGCTAAGTGGGCAGCCTCTCTGTTAAATGGAGTTGCTAAAAAATAAACACGATCTCTTCCCACCATTATATGATTATCCTCTTCCTTTATTTATCCCTTCCTTTTTTCTAGGGATAAGAATAGGAACAATCTGATACACACGTTGTTTCCCATTTGTTTTGAAAGCAAGTGTCATGTGGTTGTGGGAATCACCCACCCAACGTTATGGGGGTTATCTAAACCCACGAATATTTTTTTTTTTTTAAATTTATTTTTTGGTTCAACATGGCCAATACTAGATGACTGCTTAGGGGGTGGGATACCTTGCAACTCCATAACAGAATTGGTAGGGGAGAGTGGTTCCGGGAAGACGCAGCTTTGTCTCCAACTTACGGTACGAGCTCAACTCCCACCACACACATGGCGGACTAGGGGTCTCCTCCGTCTACATATTCACATAATTCAGCTTCTCATTTCGTCGATTGCAACAACTAGGCAACCTTTATCATGCATCATACCCCAACTTAATAAGGTTGGAGCCATTGGAAGACATATATGTTCATGGTGTTCATGATGCTCAAGAACTCATCCATGTCCTTGGAGACATACAAGCATTTTTTGCCATTATCACACCTGCCTACCTGTGAAACTCATTGTCATTGATTCCATTGCTGCATTGTTCCGATCACAGTATCAGACAACACCAGCATATTTGAAACGGCGGTCTGAAATGTTCTTCAACATATCTGGGACATTGAAGGGTTTAGCAAATAAGTTTGGGTTGGCGGTGGTTGTCACCACCCAAGTGGTGGATTTTATTGGGCCACATGATGGAGAGAATGGGGTGAGGTTGGGAAACTTGGAGTCCTTGGACACATCAGGCAGACGAGTCAGTCCAGCTTTGGGACTAGCTTGGGCACATTGCATAAATTCAAGAGTGTTCTTGGCAAGACATGAGCAATCTATTGCGGTTGACATTTGTAATGCTCCTTCAACAACTATATGTAGTCAAACACGTAGGACATTTCACCTTGTATTTGCCCCACATTTGGCCCATGCATCGGCCGAATTTGTAATTAGAAAAGAAGGTATAGTCGGAGTATCAAGGTAACTGTGTAATAAAGGAATTCTAAGAACTTTAATGTTTTGGATCCATTTGGAATTACATTACAGGCCCTTTAATTTCGCACTCACTCACAATTTACATTGTAATGGCAATACCAGTACAATAACAATACAATATAATAGCAATCTGGAAGCAATACAATATGCTGTATAGCAATGCAACCCAAATTATGCAAATTGAACAGAATTCCCATTCAACATAACACAAAACCTACCACAAATAAAAGGTAAAGTTTACATGACCTACCAAAGCAACATAAATCATATTGTCTAAGATACATTGCGCAATGGAATAGTGTTTTTACAGGTGCTTTTATTGTGGCCTGCGGAACCACACCTTGAGCACTTTCTTCTAATGGTGCCCTCTCCTTGCGAGGGAATTCTTATCTTCTTTCGTCTGCCTGGCATGACCCTTGCCATGGGAGGCAGCACAACTCGACTTCGAACATCTTCAGGAATATCCCACATTCCATGAGGCTGTACCTGGTAGATGATATCCGAATAAGCATTCATCCACGTATTCCTAGTGTAATACCGAGAAGCCTTCGAGTATACATTTACTTTCAAGAAGCAGCAAACTGCAACTACATGCTTGCAAGGTAGTTGCTCAAGCTGAAACATTCTACAACTACAATGGTTGTTGGTCAAATCTACGAGGCCATCCATATCATCGTCCAAAACATTAAACTGTGCGTTATTTACTTTAACGACATTCATCCTTGCAACATCCTCCAACCTATTCCTCAACTTATCCTCTCCAAAATTAGGGCACAATGTTGTTGTACAATTCAAAGCCAACTCACGACGTTCGGTGAACCATTTCACAAGGAGATTAATAATTTCCCCTATCAAATGAACCATTGGCAGCATCCTTGCAAACCTAAGAACTGAGTTGATTGACTCCGCAATATTTGTTGTCATTACATTGTAACGGTGTCCATCCATGTGAGCTCTAGACCACTTATGTAACCCTGCCTGCTCAAGATATTGAGCCAATGGAAAAAGATTTCACAGTCTGCTCAAAATGCATAAGTATTTTATCACGCTTTTTCAACTTGCAAGTACGTTTCATGTTCCCATTCATATGATAAAAGCATATGTCATGTTGTGCAGTTGGAAAAACTTTGTTCCACACATTCTCTATGCTAACATTGCGATCAGAAATAACAACAAGATTGGGACACTCACCAATGGCTTCATGAAGTTTAGTGAAAAACCAATGCCATGATGCATCCATCTCCAGATCCCCGATCCCAAAAGCAAGAGGATATATATTTCAATTACCATCGAATGCATTTTCTACAAACATAACACCCTTGTACTTGGATTTTAAATGAGTGGCATCACTGGGCGCATGGAAGAACAAAACCCTCTAATACGTGCACCAACCACCATAAATAAATACACAAAGTGATTGTTCTCATAAGTTTGGATGTGTGTTTTTGTGTCGGGATTCATACGCTCCAATTCATAGCAATAAGCTAGAAGGATATAATATGCCTCCTCCGCTGATCCTCTAATGGACAATAGAGGTAACTCCCTTGCTTTCCAAGCTTTCGAATAATGGATGGTGAAACCAAAGTTGTGTTTCACATATCTCATAATGTCACTTGGTGTGTATATTGTTCGAGAATCCTTAAACTTCCTTTTAAATGAAGTGGCTACAAGTGTTGCGGCTGCTTGACGATGCTTGTCACTTATGAACCTCAAATCACGTTCATGGACAGTTGTACACCTCACAATCATGAAGCTGTATTCTCCAATTCTTGATGCTCAGACCCGTCATGGGCATGGACGTCCACATATGAAAAAATCTGATCAAATTAAACCCCATAGTTTTGTCTGTAGACAAACTGAGCTATGAAAGTGCAAGGTGGCAGGCCACACATATCAAAAATCTCCAACAATAAGATTTGGAAAGAAAGAAAGTGGGCAGTTACAAAACTTGTAACTGGACTGATTGAAGGGCCAAGAAGGGTATTTACATTGGCTTTGGGCCATAATTATTACAGACAATCAGGCTGTAAGTAACTGTTATAATATGAATGTGTGGACAGGCCCGATTTTAGTATCAATCCCAATGTATATGAATTGGGTTCAAAACTCTGACCAAAAAGACGAAAAGAAAAAAAAAAGAATTGGGTTCAAAACAACATTCACCAGTTCCAATCTTTACATCTTGTGCAAATCAAATCATACAATTTGCCCACTACCCATGAAAGAATTGCATCCTTTAAGCCTTCTCTAATAAGCATGGCAGATCATGAACAAAATCAGCACCAAATCAGAAAATACACAGAGCACATAATGCTGCTAAATCAAACCATTCAAAAAACCAAAACTTGAATTACTCCGAAGGTGCCAAGATATGCAAGAACATTGCAGAAAACCCAATCAAATCGCCAAGAGCCGACTCTGCTTGCTGAGAGGCGTCTTGCAGAGCTCAAACTGAGCAAGCAGCTCAGGATCTCTGAACCCAACAAGAAATTGGGCCAACCCTTCAAGAAACAGAGCACCCTGGTAAACGCTAGTTGCACCCATAATCTCCACAAGAACACTCTTCCTCAGCCTATTGGCGTCCACAAAAACCCCCACCATCTCCTCATTCTGCTCCGCCATCGCCTCCTCCACCGCCGCCTTGTGGGTCCCCAAAGCCCAATTCCTCGCCACGTGCTCCAAGAACCCGACCTGCGCGTCCCTAGCCCGCGCCGCCAGCGCCGGCACCATCAGCCGCAGCCCGCGCTCCACCTGCTCGACCCTCTCCATCAAATTGTACGACCGGCTCCTCCACGCTGTCGCGATGTGCCAGGGCCGGTCGAAGAGGTCCCTGTCTCCTCTGTCACTGGCGCACTGAACGACCATGCTGTCGCAGTCGTTTTCGTTGTCCGAGTTGGTGTCGTTTTGGGTGAGGAAGGAGCGGAGGAGGTTGGTGAAGAGGTAGGGGTGGAAGTCGCCGAGGAAGAGGAAGGGCTTCTCTAGAGGGTTGCGCCAGGTGGGGCAGAGGAGCTGAGCGACGTCGTTCTGGGAGGCGAGGTCGAGGGCGTCGTAGTAGGACTGGAAGTGGAGGTGGAGGGCTTCCATTTGAGTCGAGAGCCGAGTCAGGGACGAGTCTGACTCGGACATTGAGCTTCGGAGAGAAGGGAGGAGCGTGTTCTTGAGGGTGTTGAACCATTCTGCGTAGAAGTCTTTGAATTGACGAGTTGTCTTCTTCCGGCCAAAGAGACCTGCAAGATTAAGGAATTTGGTTAATTGAAAATGGAGATTAGGAGATTAATTAAGGTGGGTTTTGAGAAGATTAGAGAAATGTAAGAGTGAGATTGAGAAAATTACCTACTGCCTTGAGCATCTTTGGAGATGGGTTTTTCAGATTCTTGGTGGGAATTCTTGGGTTTTTTGGTTTCTGTTTTTGGGTTCTTGTGGGGAAGAAGAGAGGATGATGATTTTGATTTTGGGAAGTTTGGTGATGGGGTGGAGTTTGTGGAGGGAAAAGGGAGTTTAAAGGGTGGCTGGGTTTTGATTATTGACAAACCAAAGACTTTATTGGGCCAAAAAAGAAAAATCTAGTCAGCCCAAGTAAAATCTTTCCTTTTTAATAGCAAGTTAGCAACCTCAATTAAATTCGAACTAGGGAGTTTTCTATTTTGATTTTTTTTTTTTGGGGTTAATAAGTGGATAAATTTCCTAAATAATCCCAATTTTTTTTTTTTTTCATGTCTTTTTAATTTTTTATTGTTTATATTTTTAAAATCCAAAACAAATATTCATGGGATAACACTCCGCATCAAATTTCAATTCAAAATTTTTTTTTTTTGGTCAACCATGAATTAGATTCCAAGCCAAAAGGTAACTGCAAGAAAATACACAGAAAGCAGAAACTGAGACAAATTACAGAGGCTCCTTCATCTGAATTGCTACAATCCAGCAAAAGAAGGAAAACTCATACTTTAAAAACAAAAATTAAGGAGGACCTGGAAGAAATGAGAAGAATGCGAACTCTCAAGATGCTAAGTAACGGTGAGCCGACTGCAAACAATGATATCCAGATTTTACTGAATATAGACCGTTCAAAGTCCAGGGCCAGACAAGATTATCCCGTTGACCTGAAGGACTGATGGGGATGGCAAGAATTTGCTTTTGAGTTTCCCAACTCAGATAACTGCCCACCCTGTCCAAACTCTAAGTTCGATTCGGCATATTGATAATATCTGAAACCATTTGTGGAGCATTAGGAGGGACATGAGTGATTGGTGTAATAATGCCATTATCAGGAATCCAATTGTCACCCCAAATATTTGTATCTGCACCATTCATGATCTAAACTCTGGCCTTGCCCAATAAAGCATCTCTCCCCTCTAGAATACTCGTCCAGATCCAAGATGATCTGTGACCCAAAACAGCATCCTTAAACCCACAATCAGGATATTACTTCTCTTTTAAAGTTTGAACCCATAAGGCATTAGGAGTAGAGATGATTCTCCAACTCTGTTTGGCAAGTAGAGCCAGATTAAATTCCGCAAGGTCTCTGAAGCCAAGACCCCCATCTCCTTTCGCCAAACACAAAGCCTTCCAAGATTTCCAGTGTATGTCGTTGCCGCCTTCTGATTTTCCCCACCAGAATTTTGCAATATCGCTACTGATCTCATTGCACACCACCTTGGGGAATTTAAACACATCATAGGATAAGCTGGGACAGCAGTGGCAATGGCCTTGATCAAAACTTCATTTTCCGCCATTAATAATGTGCCTTGTTTCTACCCCATTATCTTCTTCACCACACGCTCGCGGATATAGGCTAACACAACTTTCTTGGACCGTCCCCAGGTCATTGGAATGCCCAAATAAATACCAGAGTTATCAATCCCTCTAATACCCATAATCGAGCTTATATTCGCCTTGACATCCTCAGGAGTGTTAGCACTGAACATAAGACTAGATTCTCATAATTAATTAACTGACTAGATGCGAGACAGTAATCATCTAGTAGACCCTTTAATCTACATCAGTTTTCTTCCTCAGCTTTAACAAAAAATAGTGAATCATTTGCAAAGAAAAGATGAGATAGAATTGGAGCTCGCCTAGAAACTCGGATACCTTTAATGACACCATCTTGCACCAGCTTGGTTAGATTACATGAAAGTGCTTCGCACACCAAAAGGAAGAGATAGGGCGACAAGGGATCACCTTGTCTTAACCCTCCGGATGGCAAGAAGACGAACCAGGTTGGCCATTCACTAAGACAGAGAAAGAGACGGTTCTAATACACAACATAACCAATCTGATCCATCTTGTCTGGAAACCAAGCTTTTGTAATAGAGCTTCAAGAAAATCCCACTCCACCCTATCATAAGCCTTGTTCATATCTATTTTAATTCCCATTTCATACTTGTGACCCGCTCTCTTGAGCTGAAGATAATGAAAGGCTTCATGAGCTACTGACAGGACCCGCCCCGAGTTTTCCGGAACCCGAGACGAACTCTGTGGTAACCCCGACATCACCCCGATGTCGGGCCCACTCACTAGATTGTAACCTCCTTTTTCAAAAAGGAGTAGGGGCACGAGACTTTCTGCCGAAATTTCGGCAGAGTCTCCCCTGTAAATTGAACATTCCCCAAATTTCAACCTACACAAAATTCACATTTTAATATCCCAACGGCCAGTATGCACAAGATAACAACATGCAATTCAGCTAATTGGCCTCCAGCCTTCAAATACTTCAAAACAAATTACCAACACATTCCTTACACCAAATAATATAATCAAATGCACTTATGTAAGCCAAAAGTAATTTATATCATTTAATTTTCCCAATCCATTAGCATACGAGGCTCCAACCTCCTAACACGACTGCATCTCACTTTCACCCAAATTTCGGGACCAATAACAAGGTCCGAACCAACTCAACAAAGTACCTAACTAAATCTAATTTGCGGCTGCACCTAGTAACTTCAGGCTGCCTACGTACCCTTACTGAGGGATTAAGCCACACATAGTTCTTTCTCTAAAACCCTTTTTCTTTAAATCACAATTCACCAAAACCTCCCCACCCGCCGAAACATCCAAAGTCACGTATGGGGCCTGTCCGCACGCCGGATAAACTTGCGACATGTGGGACCTCATCATCACAACACAATATCACATATATCCCCTCATACGTCGGGACGCACCCGGCCACGTATGGGATCTGTCAACACGCCGGCTACTCCTACGACACGTGTGACCTCACAAGCATATCACATA